AGTGACTTAGCAAATTCCGTGATGAGTCATAGTCATGTCTGGTTGGCGCCCAGCACGGCTCCCGGCCAGTCACTGCAATGCTCTGCCTTCCAGAAAAAGGACCCATTGGGGGGAAATGCAGCTGGGAACAGCTGGATGGAGTGGATCTGGGAAAAGGGAGGAGGTGATATTCTTTTTGAAAGAAACACAGAGCTGCCTATGGGAATCTCCCTTCTAAAGGCAAGGAATGGCCCTACCGTCTTAGAGAGCTCAAGAAAATAGGACGGGTGTCATTTCCATGAACATCCCTAAGTCACTACCATCAACCATTAAGAATTCTAGCCTGGGGCTGGAGAGATGGCTCAGTTGTGGAGAGCATCTGTCGCACATGCAGAAGACTGGGGGGGGGGGGTCGAGTCCTAGCATCTACATGGTGGCTTACAACCATCCAGAACACCAGTCAGGGGATCCAACAGGCATCCGTGTGGTGCACATACATGTATGCAATTCATACACATAAAATGAAAAATATCAATTTTTTTAAATCTTATTAAAAAGAATTCTAGTCTAGAAAAATCAGACTTTGTTATAGCGACTCCTAGGAACACGTTCACGATATATGAATCGTAGTCTCCAAACCAGTTACCTCAGACAGAAGCACCCTAATCACCGGGTAGACTTGCTCCACAGACTCCAGGGCCCTGTCTCCAGAGTCCCTGTCACTCTGGGATAGTCTAATGGTCTGCATTTCTCACAGTCTACTGGGAAATGTGGATGGCCTTGTTTCAGGGACTACACTTCAAGAGCTCCTCGTATAGAGAAAAAAAATGTGCTGAGAAGAGTCACACTTACATGAACATACCTAGGATAAGGTGACCTACAAAAGAAGAGTATTTCTTAAGAGGCCAGACATCACTCTGAAGTCATAAGTTATTAATCCAGCTGTTTTGGTTTTTGGTTTTTGGAGTTTTTTGTTTGTTTTGTTTTTCAAGACAGTGTTTCTCTGTATAACAATTCTGGAACTTGCTCTGTAGACCAAGCTGGCCTCAAACTCACTGAGATTCGCTTGCCTCTGCCTCCCAAAGTGCTGGGATTAAAGGTGTGTGCCACCACCGCCTGGCTAATCCAGCTGCTTTAAGTCATGTTCATATAATCAACAGTGTCGACAAATATGCACACATGGAATGACAGTTGACCGTGGTAGGTGTCCCTGGGGACAAGGGTCAGTCTTCTGATGTGCTCTTTGCTCAACTAAGCAATCTAAGAACAAGAACTCAGCTCGTGTGTGTGTGTGTGTGTGTGTGTGTGTGTGTGTGTGTGTGTGTGTGTGTGTGTGCGTGCAAGCATGTGGAGGCCAGAGACCAACATTGGATGTTTTCCTCATTCTACCTTATTTTTGAGATGGTCTCTCACTGAACCTGGAGCAGCTGGGTCGCCTGGCCAGTGAGGTTCAGGGATCCACACACCTCAGCTCCTCCCAGTGACAGGGTTACAGACGTGTGCTGCCGTGCCTGGCTTTTTGGTGGATCAAAACTCAGGCTTTCATGCTTACTCAGCTAACATCCTGGCAGCTGAGCCATTTCTGCAGCCCCCAGTTCCAAATTTAAAACAAATTTAAACACCCCTAATCCAAAATTCTGAAATCCCAAATCCAGGACTTTCTTTCTGGGCATCATTAAGATAGTACAAATGCAAAATTCCACACTTGACCTATGTGATGGGTCATAGCCAAAACATGGGTGCAGTGTGACTATTGTATACAGTTACCTTCACACTCTGTGTATAAGGTCCACATTAAACATAAAAGAATTCATGTTTGCATTCAGACTCCACTCCCAGGATAATCTTATTATGTGTCTGTGAACTTTCCAAAAATCCCAAATATTTCTAGTCTCAAGTATTTCAGAAAAGCGACATTCAACCTATATAACCAACTCTTCACAGAAAAATAAAATAAAATTGCATTTAAGCGTGTGCCCAATGATTTCAGTGTCAGGTAGCCAGGGATTTTTCTGTTTTAGAGACAGGGTAGGGATGCTCATGAAACCAGATCCCTGAAGGCTGACAGTCTTGGCCTCTTGTCTTGGGTTCTACCCTTTTCCTGGTGCTAGCTCCAGGTTTGACTTGACCTGCCCTGGTTCAGTCAGGTACACACTTATGTCAGTCAGGCTAACCCATTATGGCTGAAGTTCAGTCTGTCTGCAAACAGGCAGAGACGCCAGGAGCTAGGGCTGTTTTAAAATGAAATTGATTCCCACTTCAAAGTCGCCTGAGACTAGCCAGGAAATAAGGTTCCCATTCCATGGATCTTCCTATAGAAGGGGTCCTTCATGCTCCCACCCTTTTGACGTGGACAGACACTCACTATATGAGTATCACTTATTCAGCTCCCTTTTATTGTTTGATAATTCTCTGGGTGACAGAACATTGCCTAGAATAATTTTACTTTAAGGTTTCTATATTTTAAAAAACGCGTTAAGTTTGAGTAATTTTCCCTTATGGATTCCAGCAGAATGAAGAAAAACTTGTAGCGGTTTCTTTGAGGAAGGATTACTAATTCTTTGAAAGTTCACAGCTGGATGACCTATTTAAAAACAGAAAAAGAAAGAAAGAACTGCTTCCAAGTGCATGCACATGACTGTTCTATTCTGGCCACTTAGTCTGGTTGGTAAGGGGTCCTCAGGAGTTTAAAAGGTCCTTCATTCTACAAACATGAGTACCCCTCTGCGTCATGTACTGGGGGCCTCAAGGCTTACACCTGTCCTTTTGCCCAGGACTCTGCTCTGAAGTAGTCCCGCAGGGCTTAGAGGACAAGCCAGCTGAGGGAGCAGAAGGCCTGTGCACCTTTCCATCACTCACCAAGACTTAAGAACACTCTTCCTCACGTGAGCTGTCTGGTTGACAGGTGTCCTCCAAGCAGCCCACAAGCAGCCTGCAGCCTGCTATACCTGTAAATATGGCCCAGCACAAAAGTCAAAAAAGTACTTAACACATGAGCTTTTCTTTTCCTGTCATGTGACTTGACTGTGCAGGTCTCAAGTATGAACTTTGAACTTCGTAGATGACAATGTTTGGTTGAGAGAAGCCAAAATGTCCATCCCCTGCTGGAGTAGGTTACTTGTGTCTAGAGTTACTTGTGGCATTTATATTTGAATCATACCAGAAGAAAACTAACTGAGATAAACAAAATTATTCCGCTCTTTCTTTGTAGCAGCATTATTCCAAAGGTCTTTCACTGCCTAGAAATGAGTAGACTACATGAAAGCTGCACTTCTTTCTTTCAATTTGGGGAACACTCAGTGACTCGAGGTAATCATTTCTATTATTCTCTGGCCACTCCAATTCATCTGAGGCACCCTAGAAACTCAGCCCTATTAGCATACAGGGTCCTGCTGGGTAACCAGTCCATGGTCTGTCCTACATCAGGACCAGGATAAAGAGGAGCCTGTAGAATCTACCCTTTATGTGAAGTCCTATGAATACTCGGAGTTGTTTTGTTTTGTTTTGAGACAAGGTCTCCCTATGTCAGCCCAGGCTGACTTTGAACTTGCAGTTTTCCCAGCTCAGCCTCCTGAGTGCTGGGATTTACAAGTGGTCACCATCCATGCCCAAGTGACTCCAGCCTTCTTAATGTAAACGTCTTCCGTTTTGTTTGTCACGGCCGTTGTTACGTCTTTTGGTGTGCTTGGGGATGTGTAGAATTAAAGAATTGAGTGCATGCAGGATGTGAATAGACCAGCCTGGAAGACCACCAGCAGCTTGCCGGGTAAGGAAAATGAGACGCACGAACAACTCTAGACTTACACTGGGCTGTAAGGAAGAGATCACGACAAAGTGGATGGAAGCAGAGATCATTACGTTAAATGAAATAAGCCGCACTCATGAAGCTAACACACGTCTTCTCTCATGGGCAGAATCTAGGCTTAGATTTATATTTGCCTATGTAGGACAGGATTGCAGACCGGGTACTACTTAGGAAGAAAAAGTTCTAAAGAGAGGATAAATAGAATAAATGGGAAGTGAAAGGAACTTCTAGGGAGGAGAGAGGTGGGGAGGGGTAGAGTGGAGGGTGGGGGCTGAATAAGCACCAAATATAATGACATGCCGGTGTGAAAAATACCACAGTGAAATCCGTTATTTTGGGTGCTAGCTAAAAATTAATTTCAAAAAAGTAAAGAAAAATGTTAAGTTTAAAAAAAAATAATTAAGAGTGTTTTTCTACTTAGTTTTAGGTGGTTTTGTTTGTTTGTTGTTTTGTTTTGTTTTTTTCTAAACCCCATCCATAGTTCTGAAGTGCTCGATGTCTGAGACCTTTTCTGTTTTGGAAGATAGCAAATATAACCAATGCTGATTTTTTTTTTTTTAAATCTTCTTCCACCTGTGTTCACTTACTGAGCACCTGCTTCTAGCTCAGGTAACCTGCCGGGTCCTGAGGCTATGGATATCCTGAGAACACATCCCCTGGTCTCAAAGGGAGATGGGCACTGTTGAGGGAGGGCACAGGACATTTGCCAGGAAATGGATGGAAGACATCTGCCTGTGTTCTGAGAACACTGCAGTAGGAGAGGTTTGCTCTGCCTTCGGGTGAAGGGAATTTGGGCTGCATCAATTCATCCTACTGATGGACAGCAAAGCCACAGACATTAGATTGAGGATTTTTGTTTTCCTCACTCCATAATCTCAACAATGGTCCCTATTAACCGTAGCCAAAGGTGACTTGTGTGTGATAGTGTTGTAAATATGATAACACCAACTTCTCAATACTGCACGCATTACACTTTAGATCCAAAGGTCATGGCGCAAAAACTGCTGTGGATATTTCCCAAGGAATCTGGTTATCCTATCTGACAATAATTCCAAAATTGAAATTTCAAAAACCAATTAATAGTGCTTCATGGATCGAGTAGGGACTCGGAGGGGTGGATGGCAAGGAGGGAATGCAAAGCACTGTTAGGCAGACATCAACTCAGGGGGACTGTGGTCCCCAAAGCTGAAGGTAACTTCTAGTTGGTTTTACCTACCACATGGAATGCTCCCGGGGCCTTGACGGGTCTGAAGCCATCCACAGGTACACACTGGTCGGCATGGCCGTTGCAGAAGCAGCTGCCCTTGACGATGAAATCATAGACCGCATAGTGCGTGAAATGCTGAGGCTTGGCGTTCAAGTCGTTTCCCTGGCAAGGGCAGGGCTGCCGCTTCAGCAGTTGCACGCGGAGGTTGGTGATCTTCAGCTGCTCCTGGACTTTGGCACTGTAAGGGTTTTCTATGTCGTATGGCGGGGACAGAGCTCTGAAAATAACCTGCAAAGAGAAGAAAACACCGTGTGTGTGTGTGTACAGGCCGTGTGCAAGCTCCGGGTTGTTTACCCACTGTAGTCCCCGTGTGATTTATACCTTCGGTTATCTGTGAGTGATAAGATAACCAGGGGCTTTTAGACCTTGGTCACACCTGGAGAGGAGCCACCCTGTTATTCTAAGGGAACAGGTGTACCTCCTGTTGGGATACAGACGCATGTATACAGTGAGTAACCAACGGAGGCTTGGCTCTCGAGAGGAAGGTGGCCCGTGCGAAGGTCACGGGGAAGAGCATTCTGAGAAGAAGGAACAGCAAGCTTCAAGGCCTCATAGAAGTACCAAGCTTGACTTATTTCTGGAAGAACAATGGGCCAGCCATGGCGGCCAGAGGTTCACACGAGCCAAGAGTTCAAGACCAGCCAGGGCCACATAGACAGACCCAGGGTCAAAACCAAACCAACACGATCAGTGTGACTGGAGACCAGTGAAGCAGGGAAGAGGGGCTGGAGAGGGGAGGAAACACGCCAGGCCTGGCGAGGCTGAGGTGGGGTGGCTTGCGCCGCAGGGAGCCAAGGGGAGGGTGTGGTGGCCAAATACCCCATCCGAGTCGTTATGTGTTCTGAAAAGGAAGCGTCATTTCCCAGAGCACAGCTTGTGCAGGTCAAGAGTGAGAGAGAGCGTGTGCTTAGCACAAGGGAGGCCCTGGGTTTGATGCCTCCCACTTCAGTGACTAAATATCTAAGTAGTCAAAAATCCAACAGGAGGACCAGCTGAGAAGCAACCGTGAAGCCAAGATCCAAGAGCTTGTATTTCTGAGTGAAACTTAAAACCCTTTCAAAGACTAATTGATTAACAACTGGGGCCATTATTGATATGAAAAAAATATTTTTGGTTTTCCTTTTCTGGAACTGAATTCCACATTGGTGGCACTTAATATATATATACACATACACATACATATATACATACACATATATACATACATACATATATACATACATATATATATATATATATATATTTATTTATTTATATGATCCTACGGATGCTAAATGCTCTGCCCTTGAGGGCAGACTGATTTCTGAGATGAGTCAGAAGTCATTTAAATCCAAGTGTAAAGGGAAAAGGACCTGACCAAGCTGCCGACAGCGTCCTTGGTTAAACACACCGTGTGATTAACGAGACTGCTTCTGTCATGAAGGCTACAGATGGACGCTGAAGGTGTGCGAAGGAATCGTGAGGGAGGGAGGCCTGAGGGGCAGTCTCTGGCTACTGGGAAACCTTTGGCCATGTGTGAGTCTCTGCAGGACAGGGGTCATAAAGTGGTTCTGGCCTGGGCGGCACCCAATCCCCAACTTGCCTGGTACCTGGAAGACCAAGGCTGGTAGGACATCACAGACGATGGAAACCAAGGCATATAAGAGATTCTGAAGCCTTGTAATGTGAAACAGTATTTTAAAAGCATGCTTATTACCCAGGCTTTATAAAGACAGGATAAAACTTAGGTAGTCTTGAGCATTACGCATGTTGAGATTCTTGAGTATCTTTTGGGCTGTGAGGACTTAAAAAACTTTTAACAATAATAAATAAAAACTAGGAATATTTTAATAACTAAGCAGTGCAAAATAATTGTCAAATGTATGCTTTGGAAAAACTACCACTTAGGGAAAATGTACCCAAATGACTGCACAGAAAAATAAATTAAAAAAAAAAAAATTTGCCGGGCGTTGGTGGCGCACGC